GTCTCGGTTCCAATCGATACTCGATTCTCGATACCCAACCCTACTGATTGGTCAGACAGAATCGTCACTAGCGTCATTGGATTTGCGACACGAGACACTTTTTTAGCAGTATTTTTGTTTTGCTGCCATCAGCCTCATTTTAAACACATTTTCCGTCTAGCAGTTAAAAACAACCACATACCGAGAATCAGGAACACCATCCCCTCGATAGTCTCCATTGTTCCTGTGTTGTGAGTTTGAAAATGTGGCGCTTTTAAGATGATGTCATGGCAGTAGAGGCGCGCGCAAATAACGATCAGTCCCACACACTTGGAAGGGGTACTACTGCAATGGAAACGCAAAGCGATCCGAACTGTTCCACGCCGAGTCGAAGCGTACTGAGCCGAACCGTACCGTACTATGCAGTGGAAAAGCGCCATAAGTCTCATATTTGGATGCTAGTGTGAGTGCTGTCAGCTGTCGGAGTCAGTAATATATGGAGTGTTATGTGTGTTCATTCAGTCTGGCACAATGAAGGCAGAACATGCATGTTTGATCTTGCTGTGACAGCGATTCATGCATTCCCAGCTAACAAAGTTAGGTTCTGAGAACGTTTTTCTAACGTTCCATTTTGGTTGTGGGAACGTTAATTTAAAATGTTCTAAAAACGTGGAAATGTCCAGTTTGCTTAACGTTGCTGGAACGGTGTCTTAATGTTTGCAGAACGTTGCTGGAACGTTAGCATAATGTTGTTAGAACGTTATCCTAAGGTTAGCATAATGTTGCTGGAACGTTATGAGAACGTTTATCAAACACAAATAACCTGATAAAGACGTTCCGATAACGTTGTTCTAAGAACGTTTTTTATCAACGTAATGAGAACGTTCATCAAATACAAATAACGTGATAAAGACGTTCCAAGAACGTTGTTCTAAGAACGTTTTCTCTCAACGTTACAAGAACGTTAATAATGTTATATGAACGTTCCGAAAACATTATTTTAATAACGTTTTGTCCTAACATTTACACAACTTTTAAAGAACATTAGTGAATGTTCTGGGAACGTTCCCTGTTAGCTGGGACACTTCTGGACTGTGTTTGAGACGAAACTGTAAATCTCTCCGCAGCTTCGGAGCGGTTACTCTCGCTGTTGATAAAGTGGACGTGATGAAGTTCAAACAGGTAGAAAACCTGCTACGTACTTCCCTGAACTCCCTGAGGAGAGACACTCGGCTGCAAACCAAAGCCCACCAGTGCTCGTCACTATCAGACGATCACAAAAGCTTTATGAAACGCAGCTGCTCCTTCATGTCGAGCTTTAAAAAGTATCGCCATGTATCACAGTTGGAATTTCTTCCTGCTAATTCCCTATGATGTCGAAAGGCTTTTTATTGCGTCGTTGGAGGCGATCCCACATCAATTATTGGCTTCCTGCTCAAGGGAAGAAAGTGTTTTTCAGACGTTGGCTTGTGGAGGTTGTTGGTGCCAGGCTTCCCTCTTCCTGGCTGTGCTGAAACACTCCGATCCCGCGAGACGCGCAGATCCAGGACTGCAGATTTGCTGGGGTTCAGTGGTTTAGAAGCAGGAGAGCACATGTTCTTCTTTGTAATGTTATTTAAAAGCTATTCAAAAACAGGCTCCAAGTCTAATGCTGCGTTCACGTGCTATGGAAAATAGGATATTTTCCACTTGTGAACAGGTATTTACCAGTGTGTTGCGTTCAAGTGCTTTTGTTGTCGTAATGTTGTAAAAAGATGGAGATCCAGACCAGTTATTTAGCTAAAACTATTTTAGATTGCTTAAGTCATCTGCAACAGCAAGAAAATGATTTATCAAAACTCAAAAGGTAAATAATATGCTGTATATTTTCTAGATCATGAATAGTATTTATATTTTTTACCATTCATGACTCTCGCGGTGCTCTCCGCCATTTTGAAATGGTCAAAGGTTATCTCATGTCGGCAACTCGTCCATCAAAATATTCTACGAGTTGCCCTGTAGAAAATACCACATGAGGGGGTGTTCATGTGCATTTTCCACGTCGGCTTTTGGTATTTATTATAATTACCATAGCGCATGAACGCAGCGTAATTTAAGTTCATGGGCCCTATCTTGCACCCAGCGCAATGGGCTATATGCACACATAAGTTCGCATTTAACGCAAGGATGCTCATCCATTTCCGGTTGTGGAGATTAAAACCGATGAAAACCGAGGAAAACGGGATTATGGCAGAGTCTTCAATTTACTGTCCTCCCGTCTTTGAAACGAAACGTACAACCCGATCTCACGACCAAGTCGTACGAATTCGACGAATGATTAAAAAGTGGCTAATTCGTAACAATTCATACGACCTCACTCGTACGAATTAATACGATTTTGCTAAATCGTACATATTTTACGAATTGGCCAATTCGAATGAATTCGTACGAATGACCTACCCCTTACCCCGCCCCTAAACCTAACCATCACGTGGGTTTAGACAAATCGTACGAATTAGTACGAGTGAGGTCGTACGAATTAGTACGAATTAGCCGCTTTTTAATCATGCGTCGAATTCGTACGAATTGGTCGTGAGATAGTGTTGAAACGTACACACGTTTAGATGTAATTTTATGTATAGTTATGTTTATTTAATATAATTTAAAAAAGAAGCATAAACACAACGAGGGGTGTCTGTTTTATCTGTTTTTGTGACTAACGTTTCTTTACTATAACCATGGAGTATAAAATTCAATATAAATTCTCGGTATTGCATTGGACTCTACGATCGGCGGAAGTTATCGAGCATCCTTACACCTTCACCGGAAATACGGCCGTGCATAGAGCCCATTGACTTTATACACCGACGCATGTGTCATTTGTATTTTGCACCCATGCAAAGCGGACTTTTCCCTCCACAGACGCACACCGGTTAACTAGGGAATGAACTTACGCTCCTTGGGCGGTTCATCACAAAAAAAAGGAGGGGTGTTTCAGCGCAAACAATCCCTGGTGCTAATTTGCAGATCCAGAAACAATTGCGGCAATGACCAGAAAACACTTAGTCTAAAGTCAGTGGCCTGTTGCGCGTACATTCAGATGCTATTTTAAACGCACACGCTTGGCCATAATACAATGTGTGAACAGCGCGCATACACTGTAGATGATTCTCTCATCAACACAGATGCATTTTACTTTTTGCAAATGGTACATTATTTTAAGGAAAAATATTAAAACACGAGGGAAATCATTGTTGTGTCCATGAAGACGATGGGATGGGAAAAATAGGCTTACACATTTACCCAAATTATTATATGCATGTTTAACCGAATCGAAAGTCACTTCTCTTTCTTTTACGGCCCTGACGAGAACATCGATCTCCTCGGCTGTGAACCGCTTGTGAAGTGTGCCGGTAAATGCGCCGTTATGGAACAAGCGCACCTCGTTCATCACGCTCTTATTGGTTTGTTTCTCGTTACGCCCAAACCACACCTATGAATAATGAAGCTACTTTCAGACCAACCCCTTTTAGATTTGCGTCGAGCGCAAGAGTCGTTTATCCCGCCGGTTAAATAGCAACAGCGCCGAGATCCAACGCCATCTCACGACCAATTCGTTCGTATTCGTACGAGTGATTAAAACGTGGCTAATTCGTACTTATTCGTACGACCTCACTGATAGGAATTTGTACGATTTGTCTAAACCCACGTGATGGGTAGGGGTAGGTCATTCGTACGAATTCATACGAATTGGCCAACTTGTAAAATATGTATGATTTAGCAAAAATCAAAGTGAAGTCGTAGGAATTGTTACGGATTAGCCACCTCGTAAAATTCGTACGAATTGCCGTGAGATCGGATTGCGAGATCCGCCCACAAAGATAGTTGCGCTTTGTCGCTTGACACTGGACTAGCTATGTTAGTCTTTTCTTCCATATAGTGACTCTGGAACGAGCGCAAATGTAGGGCACGACTTGATTTTGTGGGGAATTGATTGGAAGGTTGGAAGGTTTGCTATTGGTGGATCTCATGTGAGTGACAGGTTGCCCCGCCCTTTTGCCAGTAAATGCATCATTTATGCAATAGGATGTGTTTTAATTAATATATTTTTATTTTATGAGTGTGTTTGTGAAAGTGAGTGTTGTTTTAGAGGTTGCACAAGCAAATTTCGTTGCATGGCACAACTGTACAATTACAATTAAAGTCTATCTATCTATATATCTATCATCACAGAAGAGATAATGATGTGCATGGAAAACTCATTTATACTTGCAATGTAATATTTTTGAAAGAAGACTCTTCTGGTCGTCGACGCTGCGTTTATTTGATCAGTAAAATCCGAAATATTATTACAAGTTAAAACGGCTGTTTACTGTAATTTACATCCTGTGATCAAAGCTGTATTTTCAGCATCATTACTCCAGTCTTTAGTGTCACATGATCCTTCAGAAATCATACTAATATGCTGATTTGCTGCTCAAGAAACATGGCAGTTCATTTAAATACATGGTGGTCATAAGAAAACAGTGATTTTTGATGTGTTTATTCCTTTATTTAGTTGATAAAGTGCATAGGTAACGCTCCGTTTCTTTGACACTGTTTATCTGTTGATATATGAATATATATATGAATATTATTTGATTAATGTGATCCTGCAGGCATTACAGCACAGCTAATTATGACAGCGTGTTGCTTCCAGCAGAAATAAATAGACCTTGTGGAACATGATTAAATCCTTTGTTGTTTTTTCCTTGTCATTCATAACATCCCCATATTTCATGTTTCCAGCCCTCGTTTCTCCATGCTTCACTGCGCCAGAGGTATTGTCGTCTAATGCGTAAAAGCCCACGTTCTTCTGATTCATCTGCATTTTTGATCATTGATGATCAGTACATCTGGACTTGATTGCTTTAGACGCGTTTGCATCGTAATATCATGTTTTTGTGCCAGTAACAACACACTAAACGTTTGTTAAAAGCACATTTAATGGGTGAGGTGTTTCGCCGTACATGTTTTCTCACGTCTTTGTTTTGTGTTCACAGATGATGAAGTTTGCCTGGGACAACTATAAAAGTTACGCTTGGGGCAAGAATGAACTTCGACCCCTGACAAAGAATGGACACATTGGGAATATGTTTGGTGAGTGAGGTTATCATTTAACATGCAGTACACTGTGCGAGTTGTATTGTTTTCTTCCCGTCTTTTAAAGCTACACAGTGTGATTTTTACCCCCATCTAGTGGTGAAACGGTATATGACCATCCAGTGAATATTAGTTTCTGTTCCTCTCAATTCCGATTTCGTTTTAACTCCTACGGTGGCCAATGTAGTCCAAGATTAACACGGCTTCCAGTTCGACCTCGTCCATGAGTGTTAACTCAAACGTAAACGCGAAAGGCGAAGCTTGAATTAGCGGGTGTGTCCCTCTTTGGCTAATGTACTTTCAAGATGGAGGGGCAACATGGCGACCGACATCAGAAACCCTTACCCGTATGTATTTTCAATGGCATATTATACACTCACGAGAATACTTTATTACTTGAACAAAGTACATATACATTAATGAGCACATATATTTTTGAATGAACTAAGTGTTTTTAGCTAAGAATAAACTAAAAGAGTTACACAGTGTAGCTTTAAGGAAAGCTTGCGCATTTCTGTGTCGTCTCACAGGATTGAATATGATTGTTGCACCTGACGTGTCATTTGATTGATAATGAAACATTGCAGGTTTCAGGCTTTATAGTATGTTGTTTTTGTTCTTCGTGGCTTTGTGGAAAGACCTACTGTGCTGCACTAACTAGACAGCGTTTTAAAGGGATAGTTCACTGTGAAATTAATTTCTGGTATGTTTTATCTTATCTCAAGGGCATCCAAGATGTAGGTGTCTTTGTTTCCACAGTATTTTCAATTTTGATATTTTTAGGTCAAACCGTTCTTGTCTGTCAGTCATATAATGGAGGTCTATGGTCACCACCTAAAAGAGCATGCACAGAGAAGTCCAGATTAAACATGATTTAATGACTCGTTAATGCAAGTACACATTGATGGCCTAAGACACGAAACGAGCGATTTGTGTGAGAAAACGAACAGTATTTATATTGTTTTTACCTCTTGTAACCAGAGTACTTGGACGTGGCTGAGGCAAACATGATATAAATACTGTTATTTCAAACGTTAATCATTAATATCTTCTAATGTTTCTGGAAATAGCCTGTGTAATGTGGGTATGAGCGTGTTAATGGGTAATTAGTAAAAAAAAAATTACATTTCTTTGAATTTCATTTAATTTGAAGTTCTACTTTCTTAAATTCAAATTAGTTTGCAAATTCTTTTCAAATTTAAAAGCCATTCTGAATTCAGTTGAATGCACAGCTCTATTATCTCAGATCGTAGACTGTAAAAGAGATGGATGAATAGTCTCTGCTTCATTCCATCCACTGTAGAAAAATGAAGCCCCAAAAAAAATATCCCTGAAACGGTCATTGCTCATGACATCTTTGGGTGCCCGTTAGACTCCATTTTATACAGCACTGAATAACTAAAACCAAACTTATTGGAAGAACACTTGAGAAGAACTGCCCATCTTTGGAAGTGTAATTGGATTTTTTATTCTGGCTCGTGTGCCATTGGATTACATGGCGAGGGCGGTGTTTATGACCTATACTGCAGCCAGCCACCAGGGGGAGATTAAAATGATTTGGCTTCACTTTTCACAAACAAACAGCCATGAATCCTCATCCTAGGAGGTGACGGTTTCAATTAGCATCTCTTTATTTCTATAAAGGTGTCCGCTCTATAACTCTCTTCATAAGAAATCAATCTGCTTTCAATGCAGAATACTGGACGTCTCTCTAGTCAGAGACATAGACCTGGTCATGTAGGACTGTAATAATGCCACGTGTGCTGTTAAAATATCAGTACGCTTGACATTTCGAATGTTGCTTTTCTATAAGAAGTGAGGAACATGGATTTTTGCAGTTTATAGACAGGGAATGAGGTCAGTCCCGTCCGCTTATCTGAATTCAAATCGACCGAATGTTTTTCTTATGTGTTCTGAAGTCTCACGTAGCCTCTTGCCAGTAATTTGACTGTCAGTATGATCTTGTCCGAGACTGTCTGACTGACATCTAAAGTGACCAATCACACCCTAAATGGACTGTTTCGGCCACTTACTAAAGCACTGGATTGTTATGAATCGTTTAAATGTGTTTTCTAACAGAAAAGTGGCATGCCTTACAGATTCAGGGGTGAAACCTCTAGTACTTTATCACTTAATTGCTGTTTTTCATCACAGCATCCCAATTAGCCTTGGGAAACTATCTGTCTTTCCAATCGGATGATCCGATGCTGAGTGCAGGGTGCGAATTAGCCTTTTTGCGAAAAAAAAATTCCTTTAAGCTTGGGAAAAAGACGTCCTACTTTGGGCAATGACTAATCCGATAAGCCAGTGGGTGTATGCGTTTCTTGCCGTGGACAGGTTTCCCGCCTTTTACAAGATCCATGATTGTTACGTGTCCCTGTGAAGCCGAGTATGAGATTGAACGCTGTGTCCTTTAGTTGAATCCCATGAGTAAATAGACTCGCAGGGAGATTGCATCTGCATTTAGCCAACTTGTGGAAAACATGCTGATATGCTGAAAATCACTGGGATGTTACTGTACCTGTGAGCTCTGGGACGGCGGGACAAACGTCTCATATCTCATATTCCCTTTAAAGCATTTCCTCTTTTCTTTCTTTTTCCTTTTGGCTGCCTCCTCATTCAGTACCAGTTCTGAAGCCGTACGTTAGGGACATTTTTTTTTATTTTTCATTATTGTGAGGCAAACTAGAAAATAGAGTAGAAAACATGAAATGAATAATTCAGAATTGATCCTCACACAAACAATTCTCATATAGAATCTGGCTTTCTTCTGTTCTGCCTGCAAGTGTTATTTACATGGGATTAGAAAAACTTTATCAGGTTACTGGTAATGGATGATTAAAATGTTTTGAAAACAAGTTATATCTATCATATGCAAATTATAGCTGCATAGTCCTTTACTGAATTAGATTCATTCAGTTACTTGGAGTGTAACTTTATTGAATTTTACTTAATTTCGGTAAGTTTCAATAAACCATAATTTGTTTGAATGGACTTTTTCTAGACTTGTTTTACGAACTTTATTATGTGGAAATGGTTTCCCCGATTTCATGTAATTGAATGATTTTTTTTTTTCCAGTGAAGGCTGTGAATCCAATCATGGCAACGCCCTAGCAACTGCATTGCAATATATTGGCAATCGCCAGAACACCACATAGCAACACCCTGGCAACCTGCAGAACACTAGCAACCCCATATGTCAGACTAAAAAAACACTCAGAATGTCTTAGCAACTGCATATCAACACACTGGCAACCAGCAGAACACATAAACACATATTACAAAGTAAAAACACTCTGAAAATCTTAGCAACACCCTAGAAACTGCATAGCAATGTATTGGGAATCACCAGAGCAGCCTGGCAACCATATAGCAACACCTTGGCAACCAGCAGAACAATAGCAACCCCGTATGACAGACTAAAAATGTCTTAGCTACTGCATATGAACACACTGGCAACCAGCAGAACACATAAACGCATATAACAGACTAAAAACCACTCCGAATATCTTAGCAACAGCCTAGCAACTGCATAGCAATGTATTGGTAATCACCAGAACAGCCTGGTAACCATATAGCAACACCTTGGCAACCAGCAGAACAATAGCAACCCCATATGACAGACTAAAAATGTCTTAGCAATTGCATATGAACACACTGGCAACCAGAACACACAAACGCATATAACAGACTAAAAACCACTCCGAATATCTTAGCAACAGCCTAGCAACTGCATAGCAATGTATTGGTAATCACCGGAACAGCCTGGTAACCATATAGCAACACCATGGCAACCAGCAGAACACTAACAAACACATAGACAGACTAAAAACCATCAGAATATTTTAATAACACTCCAGCAACTGCATAGCAATGTATTAGAAATAACCAGAATCACCTGGCAACCGCATAGCAACAACCTGGCAACATGCAGAACACTAGTAACCCCATATGAAAGACTAAAAAACACTCAGAATGTCTTAACAACTGCATATCAACACACTGGCAACCAGCAGAACACATAAACACATATTAAAGACTAAAAACCACTCTGAATATCTTAGCAACACCCTAGCAACTGCATAGCAATGTATTGGAATTTGGCAATCACCATATAGAAACACCCTGGTAACCAGCAGAACAGTAACAATCACATAGACAGACTAAAAACCATCAGAATATTTTAATAACATTCTAGCAACTGCATAGCAATGTATTGGAAATAACCAGAACCGCCTGGCAACTGCATAGCAACACCCTGGCAACATGCAGAACATTAGCAACCCCATATGAAAGGCTAAAAAACACTAGCAACACTAACAACACTCTAGCAACCAGGAAAACACTAAGAAATGCAAATGACAGACTAACATCCACTAAGAATATCTTAGCAACACCCTAGCAACTGTTCTGGCCACTGCATAGCAACACCCTATCAACCACCAGAACAAGAATTACAATTTAAATATTCAAATAGAAAACGGTTATTTTATATTGTAATAAAATCACTGTTTTTACAGTATTTTTGATTAAATAAATGCAGCTTTGGTGGGCACAAGAGACATTTAAAAACAAAAAAAAGAAATAAAGAAAATATTAGTGTTTTTGAATATTAGTGTAATGACCTTTTCATGTTTACACCTCCATGTTTCTCATCATCATTACAGGAACTACTGTAATAATGATTAGAGCCCGACGGATAAAGGATTTTAAGGCCGATACCGATACAAGTATTTGTTGGTTTTAAAATCCGATATTCCGATATATCGGCCGATATTTTTTTGTTTTAAATTTCCGGAAGCGCACAATAAAACATTAACAGATTTCCCTAACATTAGTTATTTGTAGTTATTTATGAGTCTTAACTAAAATAATATGATAATGCATTAAAAAAAAAAACAGAACAGAGGAACATCAAAACATATAATAATTAGTCCATACATTGCCTTATAAGCTACCTGCAACCTGGATCAGCAGGTTGATCAAGGTTGCTGCCC